CATTCCATTAAAAATCAGCAGTTTCCAGCTACAATAGCCATTTACAACATTAACAGTGTCTAAACTGTATTTCTGATCAATTTGATGTTATTTTAATGGACAAATAAATTGCTTTTCTTTAGAAAACAAGGACATTTCTAAGTGACCCCAAACTTTTGAACGGTAGTGTAATTGTGTTCATATGGTGCATGGGTTCAAATGGTACATTTGTTATATTAGCCCAGGGATGGGCAACTGGTGGCCAGCGGGCCACGCCCCCCCCTCAGATCAATTTCAAGAAAATTGAAATACAAAATGTAGGAACTCAGTTGGGGTCTCAACGTAATGCTGCGAGTTAGAATAGTAGAATACACAAGGTGCAATTTCAAAATGTGGTTTTGCATCAGCAGTTTTTCTCTTGTTATGTCAGTCACTGGCAGTCAGACAATTAGCCCATGTCAGCTAATTTTTATTTATTGCTAAGTTAATTTAGCTATCTAAACTTGTTATCATGGTCGAATTACCGGCCAGGGGGCTCAAATTGATTTTGTTACAGTCTCACTCAGATATCATAAATCCTTGAGAGTGTATTGACGCACCAGTGTGTCAATCTAAGTAACATAATACAAAAGTCCACATCAAAATCTGTCAGTTTAAGCTAGAGATAGCAGATGTTTTGCAAGGTTTTTTGCAATCCACCGCATCCACCTATGTCATCCTTCCGCATCAAAGTCGGATACCCCCATCAAAGTTGCCCTTCCCTGTACTAGTCTATAATATGGGAAGAGATGACAAGTTAATGTTGATGTCAGTATGAGCCAGTATGACTGATGTTATGATTTAAAAAATGCATCCACATGAAAAAGACGAAGAAAATGACTGAACAAGACAAATAGGTCTCTAGTTAAATGTCTTTGTTTTATTTGGTTTAGGTGCATTGGAATCTGAGCATGGAAGAAAAGAGTAGAAAGGTACAGACATATTAAAAACCTTTTAAACAAATACATCACCATATGTAGAGACCGGGCTGTATTATCCCATGCGATAATTCCAAAGGTTGGTATTGAAATGTATGAGTTTAACCCTGAGAAAATATCAACTTATAAGCATCCATGGGTCGCAAGACATCTGTTCAGTTGTAAGAGGAGGAAAAATAGCTGCTTTCATATTTCAACTATGTGTGAGAACGGACAGCGGTCTTAGAATGAATGAGCAATGAACATATTTGACACACTCTTATGTCTCTTAAAATGTATCGGGCCTGTGGCAATTGAGCTCCTGGAACACTTTGTAATTTTTAATCCACCATGGATGAACAGAATACCAATGAGGGTAAATCAGGCACTGTGAGATCGCTGCCTGATTGAGTACAATAGTCTGTGAAACTTGTGTATGGGTTTTCTCTAGAGTGTTATGTGCTAAATACTCTCAAGAAAACTTTGTCACCAAGATGGCCAACTTGTTCTATGTTACAAGGTTAAGAGATAATGGGCCAGACAGCTCAATGAATTCAACTTCTGCGTGAATATGGCGACAGAAGCACGGCATTCTTGAGTTCATTTATGTAATTGTGTCTTGAAATAATTAAATAAATACATCTGTAATGAAGTTAGCGTTTTGTACCACACGGCCTGTGAAATTATCAATACAAACACATGCAGAAAATCAGACAGCTTGGTCTCTGTCTATGGCTACAGCTTTCAAACACATTATGTCAGTCACTTACTTAATTTCTATCTTTCTTTTTTGGCCCTGAGACAAGGACACATCCTCGTCTCTAAACAGTTTAATATTAATTTTTGGCCCTGAGACAAGGACACATTCTTGTCTCTAAACAGTTTCATATTACAGTTTCATATTATATACTCACCAGAGGTATGGTTTCAGAAAGCAAAAGAAACAAACATTAAAGCATTGTGTTTTCTCATTGGTCCTAGCAATCAGTTTCTAGTTCTCTACATTTGTTTTTCTTTTTTTCTATCTGATGGGCCTAGTGGCAGATGAGTATCACTTTGTAAGGATTTGATGCCAGGAAAAACTTTAATACATTTAAATCCGCTGTTAGGGTACACATTATCTTTAAAGTATTATGTTTTCTCACCAAAATCCCACCTTCTTGCCCAAGACCCAACACGTGTCTGTTTTTCTCTAATTTCTAATTTCTAACAAACATTTTTACATCATCCTTACATTTCTACAAACAAAAAAATGGGAAATAAGGGGTTAGGCTGCTGTCCACAGCAGTAAGAACAAAATGTTGAGTCAAAAAAAGGAGGACAAATTAAGCTAAAAAAAAAGAACCAGCAAAGGTTTGTAATTCAAAAATGAGAAATCTAGTTCTACCACTAAATGGCTTCACACTAAAAATAAAAATAGTTGTAAAAAATCTCCCATATCACAACACTTTTTTTTATTTTGGTATCACATTTGTTTCACCCCTTTCAATTATAAACTAAGAAACGAGGCTGGGAGTAAAAGTCTTTGTCAGACTTTTATACTGCAGTGTTTTTGCGTAAACCTTTAACACTCATTAGGGGTTTGACATGAACCTTGAGGACTGTAGAGCTTTATTAGGAAACCACCTCTTTTGGTCCTTTTTCCTTGGAATATGAGAGCCACTGTGGGCCTACACAACAGTTTTTATTTTGTACCAAGATACCCTGGTAAAGACTTTAATAAAGTTCAGTTACATGTTTAATACAACCAAGTGTGAGTATCAAGCACTTGTCTGATACTTACACCTAAAATAGTTACGTTTTTTGGTTTATCCAGTTATCTACTGTTAACAATTTAAAGCTGTTTTAGATGATTCCTGTTGGCATTTTTGAATTTCCCTTACATCAAAAATAGTTTCCCCCGTTTTTTGGGAAAAAATTCCAAAAAAGGAAAAACTAGAAAAAAATTTTAAAGGGGGCCTTTTTTTTAAAGGTTTTTTGGTTTTCCCCTTTTTGGGCTTTTCCTTTTGCCCCCCCCCAAAAAAGGTTTCCAAAATTTTGTGAAAAAACAAAAGTAAAACCTTAAAAACTGAAACCACAAAAACTTGTTTTTTGGTTCTTCTAAAGGGAAATTTAAAAAAAAGACTTTTTGGGATGTTAAAAATTAAAAGGTTTTGGGGCAACAAATTTTAAAAAAAGGCTTTAGTTTATTCTTAAAAGAGGTTTAAAGGGGAAAAAAAAGAAACCTTAAAATTTTAATTTATTTTCATTTGGGTTTTTCCTTAAAAAAAATTTTTAAGGGTTCACAGGGAAACAGCCCCATGCCCGGGGCTTTTAAAGGCCATCCCAAATCCCTAAAACAATTTCACCGTTTATAAGGCAATTCCCATGGCAACCGATTTGGCATCTGGAGAGCCAACCAATCAGCATGGCCTAGAACAATCACCTGTTTGGCTTTGGGTCGGAGACCTTTCGAAATTCCATCGGGTGAAAATGAAACTCTATGAAAAAGGCCAGAGCATATCTCATTTTCTTTCATAAAGGGGAAAAGGATCGTAGATACATTCTTTATAATAATAATAATATAAATTGCCATTAGCAGACGCTTTTATCCAAAGCGACTTACAGTCATGCGTGCATACATTTTTGTGTATGGGTGGTCCCGGGGATCGAACCCACTACCTTGGCGTTACAAGCGCCGTGCTCTACCAGCTGAGCTACAGCTGGTAGAGCTTTCAGGTCCATGTTTTCCATAAGGTACCATCCAATCCCAAATACGTCTTTGGAGATGGACATTCGTACAACAGAGGAGGTGTTGTCACAGGTATGATCACCAAACACTTAAAAAGGCATCCCTGCATCTTGAAGGAAATTGAAGGAAAATTACCAAACCTGTTGGACACCCTCAGGCTTCGAACAGGATGGAGTTCTGTCTCAGGAGGTCCCTGGTAAGGACAAAGGCTTGTGCTCGTGACAAAGGACGGAGTGGGTTTGGCTAAGGCAAGTGGACAGGGTATGGGGGAGGTGACGCTCAGACACTGCCACAGTTTGGTTCTCCATGGCAGTCATCCAGGTGGGCACCCTGATGCGGGGCAGTGGCGGTGGCTGGCACGGGACTCTGGCATTGGCACAAAGAGTGAGTGGGGAGGGGGGATCAAGGGTATAGGATTTATTTTGGGGTTCTGAGGTAGGCTTGCTCAAGCAGCATCCAGCAGGCTAACGCTAGCCTCAACTGTGACTCGGACATTCGCATCAGACTGAGGTAGCTATCTTTGGAGGCAGATTTTGGTTAGAGTGGTTTGGGTAAAGATGGGGGGGGGGTTGCCTTTTATGGTTCCTCCAGACGTTGAGGCTAGTATGGTGATAAAGACAATCAACTCAATCAGACTCATACCTCCATAAGGCTATTAGCAAGGCCGCGTCGTCATTTGTGTCTGTTAAGTATTGCAGAGCTAAGGCTAATCAAAGGCCAACAAAAATCGACTGTTGACAGGAAGTTAGCAGGAATTCTCAGTGGAGTTTAGTACACTTAGTGCAAAGATTTACTAAGTGGACCGGAACGTATATAGAGATCCTAAAAGGCCCCGGTAAGTCATTATATTTGGCATCAGCTGGGGCCTTATAAGCACAGTGCGAGTGCATGTACTGTTACCAAGGGGACACCATTGAAAGATAACATTTTGGTTATAGATGCTCCCCTTGGTAACATAAGAAAGCTCAACATAATAGGACGGCATCTGTAGGAGGAGGCATTTCTCAAGAATAACATTCTGAATTCACATGTGCATGTGCACAGACCATAAAGACATTAGACTTTGGTTAAAGAGGAGGGAAGGCGAGAGAGTACAGTGGAAACATGGAGCACTGTGTCACTCAGCTACTTTGAGCCTTTGTTCGTTAGCAGCAGCAGGTTTTTCGGGGATGGATAGAACAATGGCGGACCCCTGGCATCGCAGGACACTAGGGTGGCGGGTGGGGGGGCTTTGGTTGGGCAGGTGAGGTGGAGTAACCATCAAGAGGCAAACCGTTGGGGTGGAGGGTAGGTAAGGGTTGGTAAAGAAGGGTTTGGGGGGTTATTGGCCAATGCTAGCCAGTGCCCATTCCAGGCAGACCAGACGAGTGTTGCTCGATGAGGACCTGGCCTTGGGCCGGACGCACCGGAGCCCCTCCCTGACAGGTGGAGTCATGACTCTGTAAAAGAAAGAGAGACAAAAGACAGAGTGTCAGTCTATTATTTATCAACTTTGATCATATCCCTCCTTTTGTCCACTGATGATTGCTTCTGCATTGTGGTTGACCAATCATCTTGTTCACAATTTCTACTCCTGGACATAGTAACATCAATATTGTTCAACACAACTCTGGAGATCCAATTCAATCAAATAAAAAAATTAAGTTCCGCGTTAGCCCCAAAGCTTTCGAAAAACACACCCTAGTCTCTAGAACGCCTTGAAGTAATGTCCTTTTTGCTTGACGTGGTAACAATGTTTCGTTCAGTGGTAACAAATCCAGGTTTGATTGACTAGAGCCCTAAGGCTTGTAATCTATCATGGGGTCAGAAATCACAGACAGATGAGATCTAGATCTCAGATTGAATAGTTGGATGAGCTTGTGACAACAAAGAGATGGGATTGCGAGCATGATAGTTCAATTCATCCTGAGATATCGGCAACTCCAGATGTCCTGAAGGTGTCAACTTTGTTTTAGAAACTGAGTTACACCTGGTGGCCAAACAACTGTGACGTCAAAAACAACTGTGATGTCAATGCGTGTGTCCTGGCAACCCATATCCTGCAGCTCTGATGTCATCGATGATTCAATTATTAGACGGCGACATCTATTCAGTCACCTCCTGTCTGTTACAGGGATGAAAATAGCCAATGGAACCTTGGGCGAACAAAACTAATGGCCACATTGCGTGAGAGGTTAGCTTAATGTTTGCTGTGCAGTGAATGAGTCAGGTTAGTCTGCCAATGTGTCAGTGCACCGGTCCTCCTACCTGAGGCACTAATTCGAGGGTGACTTCTGCAGGACGAGTGACCCCCTCTTTGGGGATCCCGTTTTGTCCCAGCTGTCCCCGGTCCTCCCCCTTTGGCACAGACCAGCTGTACTGAGTCCCTTTACTGCAGAACAAACTAGGGACATTAATACGTTTCAATATTACATGCACACAAGTCCACTCTAAGAACAACACACACAATTTTACGAATACAACTAACATATAATATACCAAAGTTGACATTCATAATCTTACTCTGCCAAGATAAATCATAGGTGATCAGGATATATCTAAAGTTTACCTGGCCTTAAAAACCCAATCTGACAATGGAAGTACAGTACTAGAAGCAAAGCAACACCTAGTGGTCCCATCAGATAGGGCCCCTCCTTACCTGTGACGGTATCCAAACATGAGGAAGAGCACACAGAAGATGATGCAGGCCATGCCGATATGAATGCCAACCACGATACCGCCCATCGAGCCCTCGCTCTCCTGTCTACAGGTACACTGGGTCTCCCCACCTGCAACCAAGAAACACATGATGAGTACATCCATACATTCATTAGCCAGCACAAATACACAGTCAGTAAAATGATGGGAAGACAGATTGGATCATATGGCAATGCCAAACACAAGTCTAACTAATAGATTCACTCCAAAATACACTTGAAGCAAAAAGGACAGAAGATCACCAAATAACTAATACTTGTCTAGAAAATAGTGTTTATTACTCAATACTGACTCGACTCTAATATTTATTGGACACTCACCACTGGTTTTGGCGCTGGTGCCGTCTTCTGCCAGTGACACCAGCCTCTTGGAGCAGTCGCTCTCGCCGTTCCCGTTATAGGCTACTAGTTTGACTTCATACACCGCGCCGGTTTCTGCAAGAACAAGTCATTGTGACAGTGTCACATTATAAATTCCCTTCGACAATTTCGAAGGTCATATTTTTTAAATGGGGAGATATTGACAGAGTGTTATTGACTGCTTGCGCGATTAAAAGCAAAGCTATTGATTGGGCGATTGAAAGAGATTGAAGTTGGGGAGCATGTCATTTTTCACTCTTCCCTGGACTGTTCCTTTGCCCTAATGCCTCCCTCCCTAACCCACTTACAACTGTCTTTCTTCTCAACTCTCTCACTCTGTCATCTCTCTCTGGCATCTATGTCTTGATACCGCCAACATCCTCCCCTGTCTCCCTCTTTTAATCTCTCGATATAGATTAAGTCATTGCTGCAGTATGAGAAAGCTTATGCTCTGAATGCAATGATGCCAATCAGTAGCTGACACTAACCCATCCAGTAATCTTCCACTAGGTGGCTTACATGTCACTTTTTTTCTTTTCTTTTTTTTTACAGATACAGCAAAACATGTCAGACAAAAAACCTCAAGGAACGTTTGAAGATCTCCGTTTCACATTTCTCTGCTCCAGAGGGATATTACGTTGATCTTCCATGTGCATGGTAATTAACTCGCTGTCACATAATCATTCAAATATGGGGTAATTGTTAGTCTCTGCACCGCTGCAACCATTTAAAGCTCTCTCACTCACCAAGGCGGGAGATGGTGTGGGCATTGACGTGGCAAGGGAACTGAACTGGCCCCTGGAAGTCGGCATGGGGGACCCTGCGGTAGGTGAGCCTGAAGCCCTCTGCCTTGCCAGGCTTGCTGGGGAGCTCCCATAACACCTGGACTGCAGTGGAGTTCACCACCTTGGTGAAGAAGGTTGGGGGAGTGGGCACTACAGGAGGAGAGATGAAGATTAGAACATTGGATGAAAAAAATTGAAATTAATCAAAGATTGAAAAGGACAGCAGAAAGATAGAAAGAGTGTAGAGTTGGTTAGAGAAGCAGTATGAAAGAGATATGGTGTATGAATTGAAGACAAATGGAAAGAGAGAAAAAGAGAGGGGTGAGGATGGAATGATGATAAAACTCAAAGAGATAGTAAGACAGGGAGGAAAAACAAGGGAGTGTTTATCAGTGATGGTAGACGAGTGGAATAGTATATGGGAATTGAAATAAGTGCACAGACATGGAGAGACCCGATGAGAAAAGGGGGATGTGAGAGGTAAAAATGATGAAATTACATCAAGAGAGGGAAGAGGAGATAAACACCTACGATCGATTACAGGTTGTAAATAACCAGGCAGGCTATCAGGCCGTAGAACCATTAAAAAAAATCTCAATCTTACACTAGTCTAGCTAAATCATCCTAAGCACTCTGCTGTCCGCTTTGTGCAATGTACATGGAGCTACTAGACACTTATCAAAGGTCAGTTTTACATTCCCCCCATAATATAATAGAACCCATTTATTTGGTTACATTTAAATATATTATTTATGCTTATAAACGTTTGGGAATGCTTATATATGTGAGTACATGTTTACAAATGTTTACAAATACTACAATACTCATTTATTAATAGTATATGTACACTATAGGTATAATAGTACAGTATTCATACACCGTTTATAAATGGTTATTGTTGAAAGTAATTATAAAGTGTAACCCTTTATGTTTCCCACAGGGAGCTGTTTATGGTTAGGATTGTAGCTCAGTTGGTAGAGCATGGCGCTTGCAACGCCAGGGTTGTGGGTTTGATTCCCACGGGGGGCCAGTATGAAAAAAACAAAAAACATGTATGCACTCACTAACTGTTAGTCGCTCTGGATAAGAGCGTCTGCTAAATGACTAAAATGATTTGGGGAGGGTAAACTGATCGTTGCAATAGCATATTCCTGGTGACTTACCACCCCCTAGTGTTGTGGCCACCACAGTGCTGGACTGCTGGCTGGCACCCAGTGGGGAGTAGGCCTTGAGGTAGATGGAGTAGGTGGTGGCTGGCTCCAGGTTGGTGAAGTCGTGCTGGAAGGTGGTTTTACTGACTGCTTCCTGCAGCTCTCTGCTGTCTGGCTCTGGGGGGAACAACAAGCAGTATTATCATTAGGGTTAGGTTCCATTGCAGCACACTCAGTCAAGTGCTGCTAAAGTATTTTAAAGAAAACAAAATACTATCTCAATTGCTTAACAATCTGTCCTGTCATTAGGCTGGCTTTCACCTGGCCAGTTCTTTTAGATCAGCACAATGAAGGAGAGGAGGCAACGAGAGAACAGTTTTTTTTTAGGCAATTAAGAAATATCTTACTCCTAGCTCTGCTTTGAACACTAATAGATTATCACACAAAGACTCTCACTCACCGCCGATCTTGCGGATGTGGAGCACATAGCCGATGATGCCGTCGGTGATCTCTACGGGCGGCTGGATCCAGGCGAGCTGCAGGGCGCTGGGGGAGAGGGCGGAGGAGGTGAGGCCCTGGGGGGAGTCGGGTAGATCCTTGGCCAGGGACACGGCCAGACGGGCGCTAGCCTGGTTGGTGCCGGCCATGTTCTCAGCGATGCACTGGTAGATGGCCTCGTCCTCCGAGGTGATGCGCGTCACGGCCAGGGTGCTGGAGGATGGAGTTTAAAGATTAGAAACTTTTTATTTGAGTTAGGACATATTAAAACATTGATATATTGGGTAAACAACAAGGGTTCATTTCTAAAAGATGGGTCGGTTGTATGAATATACATTCAAACAAATATTCAGATATAAAATGAAATTCTTTGTGATTCAAAACATAATCAGGAAGCAAATGAATCCCATCCTCTCGTGTTCAGTGTAAATGCAGAACTTCAGCCTACTTCACAGAGGGAAATGTCAGCCACTATCAAACATTGCCACCTTGTGGTGAAATATATGAACTGTTCTTCTGTAGGTCTGACCAGTCTTGATGAGAATGATATCATACCAGCACTAACTGATTTATATTAATTGATTGGATGGGACCATGGTCCCACAGTTTACACATCATTCAGTTAAATTGGAAGTTTATAAATAATGTATCGGATACGTCAAGGCAAAAACATTAAATACAGGATAATGGAAAGATCAACATTATTTCAAAATAGATTTTACACGTATTTCACAATTTCTGTTCATGGACATTAGACTATATCAACTGCTAGTATGTGGGAATAACAAAATAATCTCTGTTGCTGCACGACTAAAGTAGTTCGTTTCTGCTTTCAATGGACAACCTTGGTTCCAGAGAACCTGGATGTTGATTTCGGGGTCTATATGATCCCCCTTGGAAAATAATATAGGGGAAACGCTGATTTTGCAGATTTAGCGTCTATTGTCGATGAACGTTTTACTTGCAATGATTTTGATATGTGTTTGTTTTCCCTACTTAAGTTGAATGCACTGACTATAGACCTAATTCACTATAGATAAGACTAAATGACTAAAATACTTAAATGTAAACCCAGCGCTGTATTCATTATGTAAACTGCCTACCGTTTAAGCACCAAACGGAAGCAAACACAGCAAAACAAGAGTTTCTATTGGACAAATTCAGGGAGTTCCCTCCCTGTTTCATTCCGTTTGCTTCCGTTTAAGAAATGTTTTGCAACGGAATCGGTGGGATGAATACACCTCTGGTGTACTGTACCTGTTGTTGTTGGTGAGCTTGACGTTGTCACCAGGCGTCAGGATCTTGCCATTCTTCAGCCAGATGAGGTGAGGCTCGGGGACGCCCTGGGCCACACAGGTGAACACAGCACTGCCTCCCGCTGGTTTTGAGACAGACTGCGGCCACTGCATGAACTCAGGGGGAGCTGGTGGGGAGAAAATTATGTATTTGTTGTAAGTGTATTGTGTGTGTAAGTGTATTGATTAATCCTTGTATCACTGTTGCAAAATTGTATATACAATTGCTTTTGCTTGTGATACTATGTAACTGTGCATGAAAGTAAAATATAGAACTTTCAAAAAGTCAAGAGGGGAGGTGGAAGATATGAGGAAAATGGAAGGAGGGCAATAGGAGAGGAGAAGAGAGGAGATTAAACGGGTTAGTGATAATTGGAGGGATACAAAGGTTGTTTGGAGAAAAAATAGGAAGAAGGTAGAAGAACGATTGTACAAAAAAGGAGGATGAATAAAAGCGGAGGATGACATTAGAGGAAAGAAAGATTAGAATGAGAGAGAGGAAGAAAGGTTAGAATGATTAGAATGACAAGGCCTTTTGGGGGAGAGCATTGAGTTCTATGTGCTGTCAGTCTTATAATGAACTATAGAGGGCAGTACTGATCATGGTTTTGGGCAGCTGTACTATCATATAAATGTGTTTATGATCACTGCAGTCCTTATAGTAAGGACCTTGAGAAGTGAATTTGATTTTACCATATCTCTAGACCATATCATTTTATACAGTTTCCTCTAACCTGGTAGAAACATAGCTCAAATGTAACTATCTAAATACACAGTAGATCCCTGAGTTTGTCCTGACCATGTAACCTGACGAGGAAAAACACTTTGTCCCTAGTTATAGTAGCCTACAGCATACTACCCACATTACATATACCTCAATGTGTATCAATACATACAAACATCCCTACATTTACCACAACAGATCTATAAAAACATTCCCAATGATTTCCCCTCCTCTCCTCTTCCCGGAGCTTGACCTTAACATAGGGAGAGCCTAGACTTCCAGAGGATAGCCTAACCTAACCCTAGCCCCAGTCCCCACTTCTCTATCCCCCTCTGACCCTGCCTGGCCCTCCGGTGTCCTCGGGACAGATGCAGGGTTCGTTGTCCCGCCTGACACCAGGCTCAATAGCACACAATGGGACATGCATATATGTAGAGACCCCCAGCCCCTTTCCCCCCTAACCACCTAATTGATCTATTGACACTGACACCCCCATCACCCCTGCCCTCACCCCTCCCTGGCAGAGACCCAGAGAGACTGGGCCTGGGAAGAGAGAGAAACAGGGTCCAGGGGAGAGGTAGAGAGAGAGGGAGAGAAGGGGGAGGTAAATGCAACCTTTATGTTTATTTATTTTCCCTTTTGTACTTTAACTATTTGCACATCATTACAACACTGTATATAGACATAATATAACATTTTACATGTCTTTATTATTTTGGAACTTTTGTGAGTGTAATGTTTACTGTTCATTTTGTATTGTTTATTTAACTTTTGTTTATTGTCTATTTCACTTGCTTTGGCAATGTAAACATATGTTTCCCATGCCAATAAAGCCCCTTATATTGAAATTGAATTGAGAGAGTGCGAGAGAAGAGACAGAGAGATAGAGAAAGAGAGAGAGAGAGAGATGGAGAAAGAAAGAAGGGAGAGAGATGGAGGGAGGGATGGAGAGATTAGGTTGTGAGTATTGGAGGGTGTGTGTGTGTGTGGGGGGGGGGGGGGGGGGTCAAGGGTCATAGAGACACCCATTTCAATAGAAGACCATTAATCAATGGAGGCATAGATTTAATATTCCCCAAACTGCTCTCCTTCCGATGGGCCCCAATTTCTTTAAACATACAGACACCAATACAGATCCCCGGGATCTATAAAAGGCTTGGAGGGAGTTGTTGTTGAGCAATGGGGTCAAAGGTCTTTTTCTTTCTTTTTTTAAACTGGGGGTTGGGGGGGGGGTTGGGTTAAAAAAAGGGTTAAGCGGAATTTGGTTTTGAGGGGGGAAGATGTTGTTTTTAAAAAACTAAAAAGGCATTGAAAGCAAGGGGGGGCCCCCAAGAAAACATTGGTAACACACTACGCCGTGAAGGACTGAAATCCTGCACGCCCGCCAAGGTCCCCCTGGCTCAAGAAAGCACATATACAGGCCCGTCTGAAGTTTGCCAATGAACATCTGAACGATTCAGAGGAGAACTGGGTGAAAGTGTTTTGTGGTCAGATGAGACCAAAATCGAGCTCTTTGGCATCAACTCAACTCGCCGTGTTGGAGGTGTAGGAATGCTGCCTATGACCCCAAGAACAACCATCCCCACCGTCAAACATGGAGGTGGAATCATTATGCTTTGGGGGTGTTTTTCTGCTAAGGGGACAGGACAACTTCACCGCATCAAAGGGACGATGGACGGGGCCATGTACTGTCAAATCTTGGGTGAGAACTTCCTTCCCTCAGCCAGGGCATTGAAAATGGGTCGTGGATGGGTATTCCAGCATGACAATGACCCAAAACACACGGACAAGGCAACAAAGGAGTGGCTCAAGAAGAAGCACATTAAGGTCCTGGAGTGGCCTAGCCAGTCTCCAGACCTTAATCACATATAAAATCTGTGGAGGGAGCTGAAGGTTTGAGTTGCCAAACGTCAGGCTCGAAACCTTAATGACTTGGAGAAGATCTGCAAAGAGGAGTGGGACAAAATCCCTCCTGAGATGTGTGCAAACCTGGTGGCCAACTACAAGAAACGTCTGACCTCTGTGATTGCCAAAAAGGGTTTTGCCACCAAGTACTAAGTCATGTTTTGCAGAGGGGTCAAATACTTATTTCCCTCATTAAAATGCAAATCAATGGATAACATTTTTGACATGCTTTTTTTCTGGATTTTTGTTTTGTTATTCTGTCTCTCACTATTCAAATAAACCTACCATTAAAATTATAGACTGACCATGTCTAATCAGTGGGCAAACATACAAAATCAGCAGGGGATCAAATACTTTTTTCCCTCACTGTATATTTGGCTAGGTCATTAAGGAAAAGCTAAAGATATTGGAATATAGTGATTTACTTTGAAAGTGCAAATACAATGTTAGATACAGTTGAAGTCAGAAGTTTACATACACTTAGGTTGGAGTCATTAAAACTCGTTTTTCAACCACTCCACAAATGTCTTGTTAACAAACTATAGTTTTGGCAAGTCGGTTAGGACATCTACTTTGTTCATGACACAAGTAATTTTTCCAACAATTGTTTACAGACAGATTATTTCACTTATAATTCACTGTATCACAATTCCAGTGGGTCAGAAGTTTACATACACTAAGTTGACTGTGCCTTTAAACAGCTTGGAAAATTCCAGAAAATGATGTCATGGCTTTAGAAGCTTCTGATAGGCTAATTGACATCATTTGAGTCAATTGGAGGTGTACCTGTGGATGTATTTCAAGGCCTACCTTCAAACTCAGTGCCTCTTTGCTTGACATCATGGGAAAATCAAAAGAAATCAGCAAAGACCTCAGAAAAAAATGTGTAGACCTCCACAAGTCTGGTTCATCCTTGGGAGCAATTTCCAAACGCCTGAAGGTACCACGTTCATCTGTACAAACAATAGTACGCAAGTATAAACACCATGGGAACCGCTCAGGAAGGAGACACGTTCTATCTCCTAGAGATGAACGTACTTTGGTGTGAAAAGTGCAAATCAATCCCAGAACAACAGCAAAGGACCCTGTGAAGATGCTGGAGGAAACAGGTACAAAAGTGTCTATATCCACAGTAAAATGAGTCCTACATCGACATAACCTGAAAGGCCGCTCATCAAGGAAGATGCCACTGCTCCAAAACCGCCATAAAAAAGCCAGACTACGGTTTGCAACTGCACATGGGGACAAAGATCGTACTTTTTGGAGAAATGTCCTCTGGTCTGATGAAACAAAAATAGAACTGTTTGGCCATAATGACCATTGTTATGTTTGGAGGAAAAAGGGGAATGCTTGCAAGCTGAAGAACACCATCCCAACCGTGTAGCACTGGGGTGGCAGCATCATGCTGTGGGGGTGCTTTGCTGCAGGAGGGACTGGTGCACTTCACAAAATAGATGGCATCATGAGGAAGGATAATTATGTGGATATATTGAAGCAACATCTCAAGACATCAGTCAGGAAGTTAAAGCTTGGTCGCAAATGGGTCTTCCAAATGGACAATGACCTCAAGCATACTTCCAAAGTTGTGACAAAATGGCTTAAGGACAACAAAGTCAAGGTATTGGTGTGGCCATCACAAAGCCCTGACCTCAATCCTATAGAAAATGTGTGGGCAGAACTGAAAAAGCATGTGCGAGCAAGGAGGCCTACAAACCTGACTCAGTTACACCAGCTCTGTCATGAGGAATGGACCAAAATTCACCCAACTTATTGTGGGAAGCTTGTGGAAGGCTTCCCGAAACGTTTGACCCAAGTTAAACAATTTAAAGGCAATGCTACCAAATACTAATTGAGTGTATGTAAACTTCTGACCCACTGGGAATGTGATGAAATAAATAAAAGCTGAAATAAATCATTCTCTGTACTATTATTCTGACATTTCACATTCTTAAAATAAAGTGGTGATCCTAACTGACCTAAGACAGGGAATTTTTACTAGGATTAAATGTCAGGAATTGTGAAAAACTGAGTTTAAATGTATTTGGCTAAGGTGTATGTAAACTTCCGACTTCAACTGTATATTACATCAATATATTGCATATACAGTATCAGTTACATATTCAGTGGCAATTATCGCTTCTAGAGAGGCAGGGGAGCAAAAACATGATTACATTCTAATATATAGTGCATTCGGAAAGTATTCAGATCCCTTGACTTTTTCCAAATGTTGTTACGTTACAGCTTTATTCTCAAAATGATTAAATCATTTTCCCCCCTCATCAATCTACACACAATATCCCATAATGACAAAGCAAAAACAGTTTTTTTGACATTTTTGCAAATATCACATTTACTTAAGTATTCAGACCCTTTACTCAGTACTTTGTTGAAGCACCTTTGGCAGCAATTATAGCCTCGAGTCTTCTTGGGTACGACGCTACAAGCTTGGCACACCTGTATTTGGGGAGTTTCTCCCATTCTTCTCTGCAGATCCTCTCGCTACACAGCTATTTTCATGTCTCTCCAGAGATGTTCGATAGAGTTCAAGTCCGGGCTTTGGCTGGGACACTCAAGGACATTCAGAGACTTGTCCCAAAGCCACTCCTGCATTGTCTTGGCTGTGTGCTTAGGGTCGTTGTCCTGTTGGAAGGTGAACCTTCACCCCAGTCTGAGGTCCTGAGCGCTCTGGAGCAGGTTTTCATCAAAGATCTCTCTGTACTTTGCTCCGTTCATCTTTCCATCGATCCTAACTAGTCTCCCAGTCCCTGCCAAAAAACATCCCCATAGCATGATGCTGCCACCACCATGCTTCACCATAGGGATGGTGCCAAGTTTCTCCAGATGTGATGCTTGGCATTCAGGCCTAAAGAGTTCAATCTTGGTTTCATCAGACCAGAGAATCTTGTATGTCATGGTCTGAGAGTCTTTAGGTGCCTTTTGGAAAAGTTCAAGTGGGCTGTCATGTGCCTTTTACTGAGGAGTGGCTTCCATCTGGCCACTCTACCATAAAGGCCTGATTGGTGGAGTGCTGCAGAGATGGTTGTCCTTCTGGAAGGTTCTCCCATCTCCACAGAGGAACTCTGGAGCTCTGTCAGAGTGACCATCGGGTTCTTGGTCACCTCCCTGACCGAGGCCCTTCTCCCCCGATTGCTCAGTTTGGCCGGGCGGCCAGCTCTAGGAAGAGTCTTGGTGGTTCCAAACTTCTTCCATTTAAGAATGACGGAGGCCACTGTGTTCTTGGGGACGTTCAATGCTGCAGAAATGTTTTGGTACCCTTCCCAAGATCTGTGCCTCGACACAATCCTGTCTCGGAGCTCTATGGACAATTCCTTCGACCTCATGGCTTGGTTTTTGCTCTGACATGCACTGTCAATTGTGGGACCTATATAGACAGGTGTTTGCCTTTCCAAATCATGTCCAATCAATTGAATTTATCCCAGGTTGACTCTAATCAAGTTGTAGAAATATCTCAAGGATGATCAATGTAAACAGGATGCACCTGAGCTCAATTTCGAGTCTCATAGTAAAGGGTCTGAATACTTATGTAAATAAGCTATTTCTGTTTTCACTTTGTCATTATGGGGTATTATGTGTAGATTGATGAGATATACAAATAAAAACTTTTTAGAATAAGGCTGTAATGTCACAAAATGTGGAAAAAGTCAAAGGGTCTGAATACTTTCCGAATGCACTGTAATCCTATCCATAGTTGTTTATGGTAGGGCTATTTTTTTCCTATTATGTTGTTGGTCTCTCACATTAACCAGAGGTGTTGTGACCCTTGTGTGGTCCTCAGTATATTGGTCAACCCTTAGAATAGCCAATTAAAATGGGGGAGGGTGAAATATGAGGACGGTGAACGTATGGACAGTTGCTGGGTGATGGATGGGCCTGATGGATGAGGTAATGGCAGCAGTGGACACACACAAGTCCAGCTGGAGACCAGTGTCAATGCTTAATTACAAGTGGGAGCCCAGGGTCTCTCTCGCGCCAATAGTATCACCAAAAATGACCAACCCCCATCCCCACCTGCACCTCACCCCTCCCTTCAAAGCTCTAAGGGGGCCAAAGGTGAGGTGAGAGGGTGAACCGTGGGTATCGACTCCTCTCTCCCAAACCCACCCCTTTTCCTTCCCTTCCCTGGCAGAAGTCATGGCCAAATCCAATACAGGATAATGTGACGGGGTCAGCCAGTCCCAAAAGCCCAAAGCCCAAACCCTACACCCACACACCTCCACCCCCACCACCACCCCACCTTCTGGACATTGACCCCCCCCATCCCCTATCCTGCTCCTGTGATCATGTGTATCTGTCAGTGTCATGGTCAGTTGATGGTCAGTGTGATCAGCAGCACTGGGTTGAAACCATAGAACCATTGGCTCACTCTGTGACATGTAAAGCCATTCTTGGAGGATATCACTTACTGTATAAATGCTTAATGAATTATTTAAACTTGACTTTGATTCAGCCTTCAGGCTCTGCCTCTTAGTGAGGTGAGGCAGGTACAGTATTACACTTTTCAGACTATTGTGTTGACCTTAACTGTACTCTGCTGGCTCTGATATTTTCTTTTCACATTGTCCTTTTCAGCACAGTGCCAGCAACATTGGTGGATGTGAAACCAGGCCAGCTCAGTACAGCTTAGCTCGGGTTACTTGGGCATAGTAGTGTGAAAAGGGTATAAGTGTTAGGAGGGAGCTCACCTTGCACCACCAGTCTTCCCAGCGCAGTACGCCTCATCCTGGTCCCGGGGCGGTTGGCGGCGCACACGTACACCCCCGAGTGCTGCAGCGACACGTCCGAGATCATCAGGTTTCCAGTGCCCAACACCTGGATGCCCTCCACCCCAATGGAGCGCCCATCTGGAGAGAGCACACACACACACAAAGGAATAAGACATAGGCCAACATATTACAAAAAAACACAGGATTCAATGAAAATCAAGTTTGAAACCTTAAGCTTACAGGAGGGTTGGTTGTTGGTGTCAGAGGAAGGCCCTCAAAATTGTCAAAGACTCCAGCCAACCTAGTCATAGACTGTTCTCTCTGCTACCGCACGGCAAGCAGTACCGGAGCACCAAGTCTAGGTCCAAAAGGCTTCTCAACAGCTTCTACCCCCCTGTATATAGCCTCCCTACTGTTATTTTATTTTACTTCTGCTCTTTCTTTCTCAACACTTTTTTGTTGTTGTTGTATTATTTTACTTTTTTATTAAGAAATAAATGCATTGTTGGTTAAGGGCTGTATTCGGTGCATGTGGCAAATAAATTTTTATTTTATTTTATTTTATTTAGCAACAAAATCAATGCGTGCATAACTATGGGGAAAAACGGGTTTGGCTTAGATTGTTTTTTAAATTTTTATTATTAGTATTAATATTTATTTTTTTGGAGTGTAGATCAGCTTAATATTGCAGATTGTTGACAACATGTAAACTATATTTAGTTTCCAATGTTTATTAAAAACATAAATACAATTGCACAATGAGCACTTGTTGTCTCTCACATACATCGTTACAGTTGTTGGTTAGCTAGCTAGCAAATTTCTGCCACGTTAGCATAGAAGTGACATCAGACAAAACACCTCAAAACAAGGCATGGTAACAAGAACAAGATAAAACTAACTGAAACTACCCACCTACGATTCCCCACATGGCAGTTTCTTGTCATTGTTGCTAGCTATGTGGTCATCCAGAATCACAACAACAACGGCCTTCTGCCCAATTGAAGTGTGCACGTTGTTTTTGTGACGTTCTCAGCTAACTCGTCTATAGAGCAACATAGTGCATAATACGCAGAATAGCTGATACAGAGATCAACTCATTGTTTAGCTACTATCATTAACTCAATGTGGTATAAATTAAGGCCATTGTATGCCATTCTGATTGCATGAGAACAGTCGTTACCCAGCCTGCTCCAGGACACAATGGGCCGGGGGTTCCCTGTGGCGATGCACTCCAAAATGGCTGTCTGGTGGACAGTGATGGTCAGGTTCTGGGGCCCAGAGAGGATAACTGGCTCCTTGTAGATCCTGGAGGCCCCACCTGTAGAGAGATAAAAAGAACACAAACACACACAAAATGAGAAATGAGAAGACACTACTGTAAGACAGGTTCCTCGGTTGACTAAGACCGTGTTCGGACTTTGGCTTTAGCCTACAGGGATTTTATCAATATTTATGTGATTTGCATAGACGTGGTCAGTTTAGTATTCTTTATAGTGTCCCAAACAACTAAATTATAGGTTAAAAAGCGACATGAACAAACCCATTGAAACTACACTAATGCCAGGTCCCTCTAATTATGTGATCTATACTGTAAGGTTTGGTTTTCCAGACACAGATTAAGACTAGTCTTGGAATAAGATGCACTATCAATGGAGAGTCGCCATTGAGCATGCTTTTTAGTCCAGGGCTAGGCTTAATGTGAGTGGGGTCGGTACCACTCACCGGTTACATTGAGCACAGCCTCATGGCTGAAGCGTGTGTTGGCGATGTTGGAGGCCATACAACGGTACACCCCGGCGTCAATCCGCCTCACACCAGTCACCTGGAGGATACCCATGGGCAGGAGCGTGTACCTGGACAAGGAGGGGGAGGGAGAGGGGTTCAGAGAGGTGTGAGTGCACACATATATGTGACATATAGTTCTTCTGACTACTATGCCCAAGTTTGCTACTTTTTCAAAATGTCTGTCTGCAGCATGGTAGCTACATCGCTAATGTGGCAAACTCTCTTGCTGGGTGACGCCAAGCGCCAAGTTCATTAGCAATCATCCCAAAATAATAATGTTATGAAACGTGTGTGTCTGTGTGCGTGTGTACGTGCGTGGGAGTGTATAGGCCTATATACACTGAGTGTCCAAATAATTAGGAACCCTTTCCTAATATTGAGTTGCAGCCCCTTTTACCCTCAGAACAGCCTCCATTTGTCAGGTTTAGACTCTACAAGGTGTCGAAAGCGTTCCACAGGGATGCTGGCCCATGTTGACTCCGAAGCTTCCGACAGTTGTGTCAAGTTGGCTGGATGTCCTTTGGGTGGTGGACCATTCTTGATACACACAGGAAACTGTTGAGCGTGAAAAACCCAGCAACGCTGCAGTTCTTGACACACTCAAACCAGTGCGCCTGGCACCTACTTCCATACCCCACTCAAAGGCACTTAAATCTTTTGTCTTGCCCATTCACCCGCTGAATGGCACACATACACAATCCATGTCTCAATTGTCTCAAGGCTTAAAAATCCTTCTTTAACCTGTCTCCTCCCTTTCATCTATACTGATTGAACAGGTGACATCAATAAGGGATCATAGCTTTATCCTGGATTCACCTGGTCAGTCTATGTCATGGAAAGGTGTTCGTAATGTTTTGTACATTCAGTTTATTATGATGATGTTACCTGTTGTCGGTGTTACTGAGTGGGGTTCTGTCCCTCTCCCAGGTGATGTTGGCCTCGGGCACACTGTTGACCTGGCACTTGAAGCGAGCCACACCGCCATCGTCCACTGACATGGACTCTGGGTGGGTGTGGAACTTAGGGAGAGCTGACGAAGAAAGAACAGAAAAAGTTATATCTCCATTTAACATTTATTGACACAGGATAGTCTCATTGATATAAAATATATATTTTGCAAGAGGAGACCTGGTCCAAGATGAGCAGAAGAGCCAACAATATTATACAAAAATATACATATAATATGTATATATACATATACTTAATATTCATATACACAACATATGAATGCCTACAATATCTATCATGTTTGTGTTATTTTTTATTGTATGTGTTGTCATATTTAAGTGTGTACCAAGCTTGTTCTATTAACTCCTACAGTCCCATCGTGACACCGGCGCCCTTTGGACTTCTAACCTCTTTTAAACATTGTGTGTTTGAGCTACAGAATTCTGGGTTGTACCATTGGATTTGTCTATTCACGTCTGTGATTAACGGGGGCTGAGCTAGAGTGGTGGACGGATCCATCTTCATACAGTATCTTGGAGACCAGTGGTGTGTGTTATATTTTTTATTATTTTTATTATTTTTAAATGCTAACATTCCAATGTATTTTAATGTTAAGGCTTCAGTTGTTGTGATCGCCTGCATTTTGGTTGTGTTGCGTTGTTGTGATCACCACTGATGGGGAGGGAGAGTGAATGTCCATTTCAATTCTGGATGAAGGGTGATGTACACATGCACACACGCACATGTACATACACACGTACACACAGACACACACGCAGAGGGGCCCTAAAAGCCTGGTCATTGCCATATTCAATAAGGCGGTGTGGACCGAGGGGGGTCTCCAAATGAGAGAGCATTGCCATGGCAACCCATTGCTTTGAGGGAACACTACATTGTGACAGCCATATTTCTGCTGGATTACCCATAACCCCCCTGGTTTCATTAGGCCGAAGGGAGGGGGTCAGGGGGAATAGGTAAGGAGAAGGTCGTACATTCGGTCACGTGTGTATGTGGAGGTGTGTGTGTGTGCGTGTGTGTGTGTGTGTGTTTGTGTGTGTGTGTGTGTTTGTGTGTGTGTGTGTGTGAGAAAGAGAGAGAGAGAAGGGAAAGAGAGAGAGAGAAGGGAGAGAGAGAAGGTGTGGGGTGTACCATTTATCACCCACAGTGTCACAAAGAAACACGAGAGATGAAAAAGTCTGAGGTGGTCTCGGGTTGCCAGGTATGCAACTAAGGTGTTCTCAGCGTGGAGCATCATTTATAACAGAGTCTATAGAGTCCGAGGGGGTTTTGGGTTGCCAGGTATGCGACAATGGTGTTCGCAGTATGGAAAACAGAACAGACTCTATAGCCTGTTTTGACAGAAAGGGGACTATATGTAGTGATCTCATATAGATGAAGGCTCCATTGAGAGAGAGACGCTGCATACTTTGACATTTTCCAAACTTTGCGTCGTCTTCAGTCCAGCCAGAGTCCGTCGAAGAACAGGAAATTACCAAACCACAGAAGAAGGTGAATATATGGGGGTTTCGGTGATGGCCTTATTGGATAGCTAGCAACGTATAAACAATTACCCATTCCTATAAGTGAGTACTATTTTAATAATAATGTTAAATAATACACATTGGCTGGTAAGCCAATTATATTATATGACTGTTGCTTCCCATTTAAGTTTATTGTGATTGTAATGACATTTGTTTTTGATGATAATTATTAGGTGGAGGTCACTAGCTACAGTGAGGTCCTGAGCGCTCTGGAGCAGGTTTTCATCAAGGATCTCTCTATACTTTGCTCCGTTCATCTTTCCCTCGATCCTGACTAGTCTCCCAGTCCCTGCCGCTGAAAACATCCCCACAGCATGATGCTGCTACCACCATGCTTCACCGTAGGGATGGTGCCAGACTTCCTCCAGACGTGACGCTTGGCATTCAGGCCAAAGAGTTCAATCTTGGTTACATCAGACCAGATAATCTTGTTTCTCATGGTCTGAGAGTCTTTAGGTGCCTTTAGGCAAACTCCAAGCAGGCTGTCATGTGCCTTTTACTGAGGAGTGGCTTCCGTCTGGCCACTCTACCATAAAGGCCTGATTGGTGGAGTGCTGCAGAGATGGTTGTCCTTCTGGAAGATTATCCCATCTCCACAGAGGAACTGTGGAGCTCTGTCAGAGTGACCATTGGGTTCTTGGTCACCTCCCTGACCAAGGCCATTCTCCGATTGCTCAGTTTGGCCGGGCGGCCAGCTCTAGGAACAGTCTAAGTGGTTCCAAACTTCTTCTATTTAAGAATGATGGAGGACACTGTGTTCTTGGGGACCTTCAATGGTGCAGGAATTTTCTGGTACCCTTCCCCAGATCTGTGCCTCGACACAATCCTGTCTCGGAGCTCTACGGACAATTCCTTCAACCTTATTGCTTGGTATTTGCTCTGACATGCACTGTCAACTGTGGGATCTTATATAAACAGGTGTGTGCCTTTCCAAATCATGTCCAATCAATTGAATTTACCACAGGTGGACTCCAATCAAGTTGTAGAAACATCTCAAGGATGATCAATGGAAACAGGATGCACCTGAGCTCAATTTCGAGTCTCATAGCAAAGGGTCTGAATACTTATGTAAATAAAGGTATTTCTGTTTTTTATTTGTTGTATATTTGCTAAATAAAAATAAAAATAATCATTGCTTTGTCATTATGGGATATTGTGTGTAGATTGATGAGGATTTGTATTTATTTAATCAATTTTAGAATAAGGCTGTAACGTAACAAAATGTGGAAAAAGGGAAGGGGTCTGAATACTTTCCGAATGCACTGTATGTATCCTGTCTTGAATGAAAAGGTAATATTTTGCAAACTCCCAAAATAAATGTGATCTCTGACGAGAGGGGCTCTCCTCCATCTTGCGTTACAAACACTACACTTGTCCATTCAGCAGCGGGGCAAGACTCTGTGAAGATGACGTACGGCGTAATTAAATACGTCACGATGTGCACAGGGCATAAGAGTGCTGGCAAACCACACTCAAACAATATTTGGTTATTCAAGGCTACTCTAAAACTATGGTTTCTGTACTGGACAATCATGTAACTCCTATTTATATTTTTCCTTTGACTTGTAATGAAAGCATATTTCGGTTATTTGTAAAATGTCGCCTCGGCTATAACTCAAGATGGGTAATCTTTGTATTGATATAGTCTTTAAAATGAGTTATTTATTTCTAAGTAAAATTAGAACAAGTAGGGGTTGGCTGTTGGAGAGCAACCATGCCAGCAAGAGCAAATTAACAATTTCCTTTAATACTCAATACTATGCTGTCTTGTGTTGTGTATAGATAGGTTAAGTGTTTTCTGTGTATTGTACTGTATGTGTATTGAGTGTCACGTAAGTGACTTATGTACTGTAGGCGGCTGTTACGTAGGTCACCATTACATAAATAACACTAGGTAACCATAAAACAGTATGTAAGGGAGGTAAACTCACATGCCAGCTGAACCCGGGCCTTGCGGCTGACCAGCATGCCAAAGTGGTTCTGGGCGGCGCAGTCGTACTCTCCAACATCCGTCTCACTTCCGCCTCTGTCTAGTCGTTTTTGGAAGCTCTGGATGAAGAGGGTCCCATTGGGCAGCACCTGTACACGCTCCCCCACGACTACTGGCACCCCGTTCTTGCGCCACGTGATCGAGATGGGACCCTCGCCCTCCACCCGGCAGTCCAGCATTAGCGGCCGATCCCGCACAGCAATGACGTCACTGGGCTCCAATAGGAACGCCAGCTCTTTGGCACCACATACATCTAGAAATGGGGAAGAAGATCATTGGCCGTTAGGGTTGAGAACATCAGTGTTGGTTCATTTTGTAGACCAGTACACTGGGGGTGATGCTATTGCATGTGTTTATCTAATCACCCACTATGAGTGAATTCCCAAAGGAACTCAATGTTGGCTATATACAGTAGTTTACCCATAAAGTACCTTTTCACCCAATCACTTTAAGAGCAGGTAAGAGGACCAGTAAGGGAGGTTGATACTCAGACCCTATGGGACAAGTCATTAAAGGAAAAACTTTAAACTGAGTTTGTAAACTACACCTCACAGCACTTTGTCCTGGGGCATTGAGCATGCCATGGCTGGAGCCTTGCCTGTCTCTAATCCATTCATACACCAAGATTCCTATCCCATGCCCTATGTATCTGTGTTTACAAGCAAAGACTGAGACACAACAACACAGAAGGGGACCGGAATAGAGATGGACAGCCACGTTCGCCCCGGGGACGAACTCTTCCAACCCCAAAAACTGCACTTGACACTCTACACCGGCCAACTGATTGATGGCTGTGTTAGTTCCGCGTCCACAACACTTTTACTGAAACCGTCCACAATAATAGGGCTGAATGCCAGGGAGTCATTGAGCCAAAGAGGGCAGGAACAATGGCTGAGACAGAGGCAGACTAGAGAGGGTTAGTGGGGTCAAGTTAGGAGAACTTCTATTGAACCAAGCGCAGACCGGTGACAATGGCACAGTGACGACACTCACACTCGTTCTTACCCCACCTCCCCACAACCCCATAGAAAGTCCCATCACCATAAACCAACACCCCCCCCCCTCTATAGGGGCCATCTGCCCCTCTTATGCCCCCCCTGCATCCCTGCATCCCTTTCACCAAGGCTCCGGGGTGACTTTCCCATGCCACTGGATCACCCCATTCACCTCTCGAAGTTGACCCCACCGACATGGCAAGTCTTCCCAAAAAACCCTGCCCCACCCTGACCCCTCTAGATGGCCGTTCCCTTTCTCCCAGCTGTTGAGGTGGTGGAGGGAAAGGGAGTCAGAGAGTGACACACCCGAAAAGCTTCAATGCCCCCTGCTCTTGAACTTGCATGATGAGACGCACCATCAAAATAATGGAGAACTTTTGCATCTGTTTATCTGAACTATAGCGAATCCCCCTCTCTTCTTCTTCTCATCTACACACCTGTGAACCGCAGAACAACAGCCTTCCCCTCCTCCCACTGACTGCCACCACAATCATATCACACCATCACAGCCATCCATCCAGCACCTGGAAAGGCTGTGGTCTCACACCCATAACTTTTGCCCTTGACTTTAATTTGAATAAAGATATTCTCACCAAATCTCTCTTCATTCTTTTCTTTCTGGTGACCACTCTATTTGATTAGAGTGTCCTCTGTGCACCCTAACTTACCTTTACAAACTATCATTTCATATCAAATATATGCTTTTGCCAATTCTCCTAAAGAACCATGGACTGCTATAGCTTAACAATGGGGTATGTCTCTTTTCCTCACATCCACATTAAGCCAAACATTCAATGACCATTACAAACCCTAAAACAACCAAGCCTGGTTCATCGCTAGTGAAGGCTATGTTATGGCTCATAAATGTACCATCTCTTTAGATGCTTATGGCTTGTATTAATGCTCTATCCAATGGCTTGTGTGCCCCATTTAAATATGTAAATAGCGCAAGTCAATGGTCTTTTAGGATATTCATTATATAACACACTAATGAGCAGAGACATGCTATGGATTCTGGTGAAGCATCTCCTGATTGCAGCAGGACAAATACTACAAGATATCTCATAACTTTCAGGACTATTTATAACCTATACAGATTAATGTACTGATTTGGATCCTACTGTAAAAGCACAATCTGTTCTTTGTGATCTTGTTCGCAAGTATAGAAATGTGTCATTGTGCAAGGTTGATCACAAGCTGATCACAAGTGATCTGATGGTTGTACAAGGTTGTGAGACAACCAATAAAATCAGAGCATCTTCATATGAAATCCTTTCCAACATTGCCCAGTCGACTAAGTGACAACCATGACCAAACTTCATCCATAAATGCATTGCAGAGCCATAGACTGTACCCACAGCCTGAGAGGACAGCAGGCCTTTTCTACAGCACACCCTGATACAGGTTTCAGCTTATCCCTGTGACATTGTGACATCAGAGATTCCTTGCATCTGCACCCATTATAATGAGTTGACTCACACCCAGCAGATGTAAAAAGGGGTAGGGTGGGGTGGGGGTGTTCTCTAGCTCAGCTGCCTAAAGCCCTGCACCCACCTCTACTACTCACTCCCCCTCCCTTATAGGGGTGAAATTAAGGGGTCCCAAGGGGGGACTTGTGTCACATGCTGTGGCCACAGTCATCGAACACATGGCGTTGTGAGGCCTTAGAGGCCAATGTCAATCTTGACAATATAGAGGTGTGGGGGAAGGGAGGTGAGGTGATATGGAGTTGTGAATGACAGAGATACAACCTTGTGATAAGCAGGTTATGTCACACCAGGGCTCTTTTATGTTATTGGTGTCTATGATATTGATAGACATTTGTATGGCTCAAGTGTGGGTTCTTAGTATTTCTGAACCACAAGGCCAACTATCAGTAGTGAAGTTTTCCATTGCAAAAAATGTACTGATGTACTGTTAGGCGATAGCCCTCGCCAATGAGTATATATAGAGGAACAAATCCCACAAACTGGAGAATGAAGACATTACTTTTACTTTGCACAGAAGGACACCTCTTTTCTAAGGGTTACTTGCCAAGCCTTAAGGAAAAAACACTCAAAAACAATATTAGTCCACTGTTGATAGAGTAAAAAAATATAATAATGTCACCTGTCAAGTTTTGCATTTGCATCATCATGATGATGTGGCCGGTGACACTTTGCTTCTAAAAAGTGTAATATATTGAAACATTTACTGCTGACATGCAAAACCTTTTGGGACTGTATCAACAGTGGACTAATGAAACAAATACCAAAATATAGTTTTTGAGTGGATTTTCCCTTTAAGCTTCTACAGGCGCAAAGTGGCAAGGTCAGGTTCCAAGTTCAGCTCAGAACAACATAATATATCACATTCAACATATACAGTATTCACACTTTTCCCACATTTTGTTGTGCTACAGCTTGAATTTAAAATGGATTAAATTGAGATTTTGTGTCACTGGCCTACACACAATACCCCATAATGTCAAAGTGGAATTATGTTTTTAGAAATGTTTACAAATTAATCAAAAATGACAAGCTTGCCTCCCGAGTGGCGCAGCGGTCTATGGCACTACAGTGCTTGAGGCGTCACTACAGATCCGGGTTCGATCCCGGGCTGTGTTGCAGGGTTTGGCTGGCCGGGATGTCCTTGTCCCATCGTGCTCAGTCGCATGTTTCCTCCGACACATTGGTGCGGCTGGCTTCCGGGTTAAGCGAGCAGTGTGTCAAGAAGCAGTGCGGCTTGGCAGGGTCGTGTTTCGGAGGACGCATGGCTCTCGACCTTCGCCTCTCCCGAGTCCGTACGGGAGTTGCAGCGATTGGACAAGACTGTAACTACCAATTGGATATCACAAAATTGGGGAGAAAAAGATGTGTGCAATAATAGTGTTTAACATGATTTTTGAATGACTACCTCATTTCTGTACCCCACACATACAATTATCTGTAAGGTGTCCTTCAGTCGAGCAGTGCATTTCAAACACAGATTCAACCACAAAGACCAGGGAGGTTTTCCACAAAGAAGAGCACATATTGGTAGATGGGTAAAAAAAGCAGACATTGAATATCCGTTTGAGCATGGTGAAGTTATTAATTACACTTTGGATGGTGTATCAATACACCCAGTCACTACAAAGATACAGGCGTCCTTCCTAACTCAGTTGCCGGAGAGGAAGGAAACCGTTCAGGGATTTCACAATGAGGCCAATAGTGACTTTAAAACAGTTACAGAGTTTAATGGCTGTGACAGGAGAAAACTGAGGATGGATCAACAACATTGTAGTTACTCCACAATACTAACCTACAGTAAATGACAGAGTGAAAAGAAGGAAGCCTGTACAGAATATTCCAAAACATGCATTCTGTTTGCAATAAGGCACTAAAGTAAAACTGCAAGAATGTGGCAAAGAAATGAACTTTATGTCCTGAATACAAAGCGTAATGTTTGGGGCAAATCCAACATAACACATCACTGAGTACCACTCTTCATATTTTCAAGCATGGTGGTAGCTGCATCATGTTGTGTCATCGGCAAGTGAGTTTTTTTTTAGGACAAAAAGAAACGGAATAGAGCTAAGCTCAGGCAAAATCCTAGAGGAAAACCTGTTTCAATCTGCTTTCCACCAGACACTGGGAGACAAATTCACCTTTCAGCAGGACAATAACCTAAAATACAAGGAGTTGTTTACCAATACGACATTTAATGTACCTGAGTGGCCTTGTTACAGTTTTGACTTAAATCGGCCTTGAAAATGGCTGTCTAGCAATGATCAACAACCAACTTGACAGAGCTTGAAGAATTTTAAAAATAATAATGTGCAAATATTGTAAATAAAGCTCTTAGAGGCTTACCCAGAAAGACTCACAGCTGTAATCGCTGTCAAAGGTGATTCTAACATGTATTTACTCAGGTGTGTGAATACTTACGTAAATGAGATATTTCTGTATTACATTTTCAATACATTTTCAAAATTTTCAAAAAACATGTTTTCACTTTGTCATTATGGGATATTGTGTGTAGGGTGAAAAAACTGGTGGTGAAAAAATATATTTAATCAATTTATATTTCAGGCTGTAACACAACAAAATGTGGAATAAGTCAAGGGGTATGAATACTTTCTGAAGGAACTGTATCAGTATAATAGACCAACATATTTGTTATATATGGCTCTTTAAACCCAGTTCAAATTGCTAGGCCACAACCCAACTTTGCACTGAATAGCCACCATAATAATATGCATCTCTATAGTCTTTCTGCATTAGCCATTGCTTCTTGACGTATCGACAAAGAGATTGATCAAGGGTCCCCTTCTTTTGTGTCCAGATAAACGTATTCACAAGGCTCTAATCTGGGTGATGTGATGCCTTCAAGGCAGCAATGCAATCACTATGGCCATGGTTGCTACATATTGCTAGCTAGCAACAAGGAAAAAGGGTGCTAGATCTCTCGCTAAAACAGCCAAAAGGTGACCCAACTATGCCAATTATCCATTACTACCTATGTGGTCTGTTCTTATATGGATGTGTGATGCAGTGCTCAAGTTAGAGGATTAATTCAATCTCAATTTCAGGGGTGGAGGGCCCAAATATATGTAATTTTTTTTGGGGTGGAGGGGGGGTTCCTGAGCAGCAGGGATCCCCCACCCTGTCCTCACCCTAGAGGTTGTGACCCTAACCCTCCAGGGGTCATGAGAGAGTTGGAGGAGAGTTAACGGAAGGGGGAGTGGGGGATGGAGGGATGGAGGGGACAGCTTGCATCCGGCCACCAAGTTAGTCATATTCACCCCCCCTCACTCGGTAACCAATGTCTCCTGGGCCGCTGGCCATGAACTTTACAGGCTATTGTGACGGCGACCAGGGATCTTCTTAGCCAGCCACCCACCCCCCAAAAAGAGAGGGAGAGAGAGTGAAAGGGGGTCCTGAGCGCCCGGGATAAGGCAAAGATACGCAAATCCCCTCATTGATTGCGTTATGCCTTCCTCTAGCATTGCCTTCCCCGTCTCTCTCTATATCTCTGTTTGAGTGGCAGCCAGCTACGGCTGGACTGTGACTGAAGAACCAGTATGTTAAAACTGGGCCCTGGACCAACCTTACACACAAAGTACCATAGGCTTTAATAAGGCAATAAACAATCTATTGAATGGACTTGAATGGAGGGGTTGGGGCAAGGAGAGAAAATTTGGTCTCACATTCGTAATCAGGTGGCATATTCGATGGAAGAAATCCACTGACACTATTGGCCTTTGTTTTATAATCAGTAGTGCATCAACATGTAGGCTACACTTCTGCTGAAAATGTCTAAAAGTAGAAAACACATTTTTAAGCCTGCAGGCATAATGCTTTATAACTTGATTTAACTTGTTGTCAGCTTTTATAATTACATTTACATTTTAGTCATTTAGCAGACACTCTTATCCAGAGCGACTTACAGTTAGTGAGTGTATAAATGTTTCATAACGTCTGATAATAAGTACAACAAAATATACTGTATATATATTTACGAAGACTGCATTGTGACCACTTTCTCTGGCCACTTTGTTCATCCTCCACAACTGATTATAATTTCAATTTCTGTGGCCAAAAAAGGATGGAAAAGTGAGAAAAACTATTGAAACTCCATCCCCCCTTCCGTCCTATCTAAAAAGTAAACCAGTGCTTTTGTGTGGGATTACAAATGTTTTCTATGCACCTTGAAAAATTCCT